TGGGAAGACCAGGTGATGTCAAGCTCAAAGGTTTTAAATGCCCAGACTCATCTGACCTTGCCCCAACAATCAGCACCATGGGTTCTTCTAAGCAGTTGTCTAGAAAACTGAAACTGAAAATAGTTGACGCTCACAAAGCTGGAGAAGGCTATGAGAAGATAGCAAAGCGTTTTCAGATGTCAATATCCTCTGTTCGGTATGTAATTAAGAAATGGCAGTCATCAGGAACAGTGGAAGTTAAATCAAGATCTGGAAGACCAAGAAAAATATCAGACAGAACAGCTCGCAGGATTGTGAGAAAAACAATTCAAAACCGACGTTTGACTGCACGATCCCTCCAGAAAGATCTGGCAGACACTGGAGTTGTGGTACGCTATTCCACTATAAAGAGATACTTGTACAAATATGGTCAAATGGAGATTTTTCCATCTTTCCTTGGCTTCTTTATGCACATTAATACAAATTTTTAGCTGGGGTGCCCAAACTTTCGATCCCCACTGTGTGTATGTATATATATATATATAATAAATAAATGGGGGGTATATATACCCAATATCAGCATGGACCTAGGAAAGATTTGCAGCAAAAAAAATATGCCGCACATAGAAGATCCAATTACTTTGCAGTCACAATAAGGCTCACAGAAGCATTAGGAAAGCTGTTAAGCTGCATTAACTGAGATTTGAAACGGTAATGTCAGCTAGTATTATTAAGTCAGCATCTGTCTATGATGGAATTATAGCTGCATACATACAATGCAAAGATGACCATTTAGTCTGCCACTTACTATATATCAATATGATAAACACACTTTTTACTAAAATGTTAGGCATCGTCTGCAATAGGAATTATATCTTCAGTGAAATAATTCCCAAGACCTTGTTCACATGGGAGTACTTAAAGCGGAGTTCCACTCAACTGTCAAAAAATAAAAGTCAGCAGCTACAAAAACTGTAGCTGCTGACTTTTAAAAAACAGCCACTTACCTGTCCCTCGGTCCCGTGGTGTGTCCCCTGCAGCCCGTTTCACTGGCTGTCCTGTATGCCAGGAGGCCGGCATCTTCAGTGTGGGCACCCGGCTGTGATAGCTTGCGGCTTCACAGCCAGGTACCCACTGCGCATGCGCGAGTAGCACTGCGCTTTGTAAATGGTCCTGTAGTCTTCTGGGACCTGTCACGTGTCCCAGAAGACTACAGGGAGGGGAGGGAGGACACCTTCCACTTCCAATCACCTAGGCGATCAATTACACAGAATCAGCAGCATGCATGTCATGACTGTTGGGTCTGTTGGATTTCTATTACTCTACTACATCTGCTAGTAAATTATTTGCCATGTAGAAATATCATTTCTACCAAAAACACTGATTGAGCAGGTTAGTGATGTCTGACTGCTATTATTTTGAACACAACTGTACATCCAAGGGAAGGGCCGTGTTTTCCAGCACAGGATGCACAGGTGTTCCGTGCATCTATAGGCATGCAGTTCTATTCATGTATTGGGACACAGTAACTGCATGGTCTCGATGTGGTATCTGGGTAAGGTGAGATATCTGCTGGTAGTGAGGGAGTTGCTATTTGGGCTCCCTATCGGTCTATCTCCCATGGTAAATGGAAACAGACCAGCATTACAGAGGTCCTCAGTCAACCCTAAAGTGCAGGTGAGTTAATTCAGGACATGTATGTGACCTGTGTTATGTGTCTGGTGGGGTTTCATTTCACCACTGGGAGTGAGGTAGCAGAGGTATGCTGACTTGTTGAGTTGCGTGGTTTGGCCCGCCACCCCGAATGCAACATATGTAACACACTGGAAGTAGAGCAATGGGACAGCTCTTGAAAGAGCGAGTTGGCTTAATTATATTAACAGTGTCAGCTTACCTCTGTGTCAGAAGACTGCCTTAAAAATAGACTTTGCACATGACCACAGTTCCCACCTGGTCCCAGGCATGGGTGAGCATGCCCTCAGGCAAAGGTACCCCTAGTGAACAGGCGTGGTAGGCCCCGCTCACAACATGATATAGTCGAAGTATCCATTCCACACACCCACCTTAATGCTTGTATGTATAACTTTGGTAGTACTCTTTCCCGAAAAAACTGAACTAGCAATTCCTCTTCTGCAGTACAGCTTTCACCTTACGTGTCTGTCATATATGTCTAATAGTGGAAACTATGACTGTGCTTACATCAAAAAGGAATCATTGACAATGATATCTGACCCAAAGAAAATATCCTTTTAAACCATGCATAACTTTCTTACTGGTAAAATAAAACACACAGCCATACACAGCTCAAGCTTGTCTGCCTGGACTCCGAGCAGACAGCACTAAGATGTTTCCCAAACATTTCCCAATGTTCTCGACCCCAGTTCTTGTAGGCCATCTCTTGCAATTTTGCAATTAAAACGGTCTGATTTAATTTATTTTTTAAAGTCCAACTCCAGCATAATACACTTAATAGATGGCTTGAGACCATTGCTAAATACTGTAAGCTCGGTATGTAGGCATGTGCGGTTTGTTTTCTCCTCTGCAGGCGGCGCTCAAATGAGTGGCACCTCAGACTGGAGAGGAAGTCCAAGAGAAACAACATTTCTCTATGGTTTCCTGGGACAATGGAGCAACATTCTGGATGGATACATTGTGCCCATGTGACCCTTGTTGGCCACCTTGGGTCAGCAGGGTTTGTTTAAGTCCCTGCTCCAGGTTGGCATGCTTCTGGAATGTGGCTAGTGTAGGGAGAAAGACCCCGCTTGTTAGGGAAAGTAACTAGTGGTAGGTGGTTCCTGATAAGGAAGGACATATTAGGGACTTTCCTCTTGGGACTGGACCAGCTAGGCCAATTTTCACCCTCTGAAACAGATGCTGTCGGCACCTCTCCTCCGCTATATCTGACTGCATTGAACTGTGAGTTATTTCCCTAGCAGTGCTCTCCCACACCTGGGTGTTTATAATGTTGGCATTGGGTTTAATACAAGTTCCATGTTTACTGTAATCAGACTCTGTATTTACTACCCGCACCATGCCACACCTCCCCACAGGTACTGTAAAATTTATTTGGTAGAGCAAAAAATGGATCATTACAAATGTAAACTGCAACAATAAACTGAAATACCTTCTGAATTCTCCCCACTAATGTAATTAAAAAGGCGCTTAAAGGTTTTCATTATTCCTATGCCCATGCCATCCGTGTTTAAGTATGTTGTCGCCCAACGGGTTGACTCATATCTTCTAAGTTCAAACGTCTGAAAAACACAATAAAAATAACACATGACAGTCATGAAATTTGGTGCCTTGTTTGTATACATGGTGGTACAGTATAGTTTACAATTGGTTTTCAGACCACTGTGAAAACATTGACTAATTAGTAAACCAAATCCTTTGGTCACCCTTGCCTCATTTTGTCTGGAACCCCATTTGTGATAATTGTGTGTGCTAGTATTAAATTTAACTTTGCAGCCCACTTCAAAGTAGGGTTACTACCTCATCCGTTTAAAACCCAACACATATTAATTACACAGGTTCTGTGGCTGATTAAGGTGGTAATTAAAGTCACTTAGTGCCATATCTGCATCAAATTAGCTATAGAACCTGTGCCATGAATATGTGTTCGGGTTTAAAGGGATGAGGTGGCAACCCTACTTCAAAGAACCACTTCTTACTAGAGAGTCACATATGATTAGCAATAAATATCTAGACACCATTTCTACCAACGCTAATTCAACTAGCAATTTTTAGTCCTAGTGTACACAAGTGTGTTAAAATTCCCCCAAGTACACTGGATCTTTCTACTTGGAGCTGGCAGAAAAAGTTATCTTAAAAAAATGTTTCTTTTATGCACTATTACACGTGTTTATGCACAGTTACAAGCATTTGGCTTTTGGAAGCATTTAAATGTAAACTAGGGTTGCTACCTCATCCCTTTAAACCGAACACATATTAATTACACAGGTTCTGTTGCTGATTAAGGTGGTAATTAAACTGAGTGCCTCATCTGCATTAAATTAACCACTGAACCTGTGTAATTAATATGTGTTCAGGTTTAAAGGGATGAGGTGGCAAACCTAATGTAAACTCATTCTATCGGCTAGGACAGGACTTGAAATTTCCGCTCGCCAAATGCGAGGGGAAATCCCTTTGTGGTGAGCACAGATGGAGCGGGCGGCTTGCAATGGAGCAGGTGGCTTGCAATGCGATCCCCAGGCCCCGGGGATCAATTTGCTTTCCACTTGCGCTCCAAGCCTCGTTGTGCAGCCGACTTCCGGGTTCCGACTTCTGGTTTCTTCTTCTCCGCCACAGGGGACATGAGAAGAGGACCGCTCTCCACCGCCTTGGGGGGAACAAGGAGAGGCCCACTCTCCACTGCCCTTGGGGACACGAGGCCTGCTCTGTACCACCTTTTTGCATCAGAAAAAGGGTATTACACAAGTCTTGGTCCTGCTGTACAACGAAAACCATTGCAAATCTTGATGTGGAACTGGCTTCCTACTGCTTTTTGGCATCCAAAAAATAATTTTTTGGTGTTTTTTTTTCTCCACTGAATAGATTGCAATCCACACAAAGCCACTGAAGTGGTATTTTGCATCAGAAAAAAGGTTGCTCTATTAGCACATCTTTGTTAAAATGTTTAGTATTGTTATGCCATGTTTTTTGGCATCTAAATAAGCACTTTTTTGTTTTTTCTTAATGCACTACTTCTCTAAGCTCTCTTTTAATAAGATGCTGGAGATAAAGAATGCAAAATGTTTACTATTGTTATTTATTTTATGCAATGTTTTTTGGCCAAAGAGGCACTTTTTTCTTTTATTCTTAACCACCTCCCGTCCGCCCTATAGTACAATGATGGGTGCAAAGTGGTACTCTCGTTCTGATAGGACGTCATATGACGTCCTACCATTCTCATTGCGCATGCGCGGCTCAGGGAGCATGCAAGCGCGGCGTTCGCCGGTGCGCTGTGTCCCTCGGACACAGTGGATCACGGAAAGAGCTGAAGATGTCGGCTCGGTCATGTGATCAGCTGTGTCCAATCACAGCTGATCACATGTAAACACGGAAATGCCGGTTATCGTCATTTCTCTCCTCTCGAGCTGGTAATCGGCTTTCAGCGGAGGGGACAGTGTGCCCTGATGATCAGTGTGGCCCCAGAAGTGCCACCTGTCAGTGCTCATCAGTGCCACGTGCCAGTGCCCATCAGTGCCACATCAATGCCACATATCAGTGCCCATCTGAGCTGCCTTTCAATGTCACCCATCAGTGTCAGTCAGTGCCACCTATCAGTGCTGCCAATCAGTGCTACCTATCAGTGCCAGTCAGTGTTGCCTATCAGTCCGCATCAGTGCCAGTCAGTGTCGCCTGTCAGTGCCAGTCAGTGCTGCCTATCAGTGCCATGTATCAGTGTCATGTATCAGTGTCATATCAGTGTCATGTATCAGTGTCATGTATCAGTGTCATGTATCAGTGCTGCCTTTCAGTGCCCATCAGTGATGCCTGTCAATGCCCATCAGTGCAACCTACCAGTGCCTCCTCATCAGTGCCAATCAGTGCCACCTATCAATGTCCATCAGTGCAGCTTATCAGTGCCCATCACTGCAGCCTCATTAGCGCACATCAGTGAAGAAGAAAAATCTCTTATTTACAAAATTGTATAACAAAAACTAAGAAAAAACTTTTTTTTTCAAAATTTTCAGTGGTTTTTTGGTTTGTTTAAGAAAAAATAAAATTCCACCAAAAGAAAGCTCTGTCTCAAAAAATGATAAAAATTTCATATGGGGACAGTGTTGCATTGCATGACCGCGCAATTGTCATTCAAAGTGTGACAGCGCTGAAAGCTGGAAATTGGCCTGGGCAGGAAAGAGGTATAAGTGCCCGGTAGGCTAGTGGTTAATGCCACACTTCTCTAAGGTCTTTGCTGGAGATAAAAAATACAACATGTTTATAGTAACTATTATTCCACGTTTTTTGGCATCAAAATAAGAACTTTCTTATGCTATATTCTGTAAACTAAACTTACATCTTTTAATAGAGACTTTAGTTACTAAAGTCTCTTTTTAAACATGCAGGAGATAAAAAAAATACAAAATGTTCACTACAGGTTTAAAGATGTAAAACTTGATATTTTGATTGTACCTTATTGCTATTAAGCTATTGCTGTTATGTTTAAATTGACATATTAAAGCTATGTTATAATTGCAGTTTTTTATATTTTGGACTCTTTATTCAAAAGAAAAATTTTAATTTCATAAGCTTTAAGGGGGCAGGGCTGGGGGTGGGATTGGGGGATGAGTCGGGGTGGGGTTGGAGGCGGACCTGGGCAAGGTTGGATGGGGCAACTGGTGGAGAGTAAGGTTTGTGCCTGGCTAGTATGTCTAGACTAGAAATTTTAAGCCCTGGGCTAGGATATTCATTTATTCAAGCCACTAGAATAGATTTAGGTGCATGTATGTGTGTTTACATGTAAAAAGCACAAATATGCCTCTTCAGAAACAAGAGTCTAGGGGCATTTTTATTAAGAATTTGAACACTGCGTGTGGTTAAACACCTGCATGTGCTTGGGCACATTAGTTAACATGTAGCTACTTTGAAAGGCATTAAAAAACCCAGACGCCTCTGAAAGCATTATGGCCTTAGGGTTCATAAAGGCTAAGTTCACATTTTGAAAAAAATTTGACTTTTCAGTCCAAAGACCCTAGTGGGCCATTTGCAGCAGAAAACCCCCTATATTGTTAGCATTCCCCCATCTTGCCTAGTTGCTGGGATGTGATATATGTTGAGTGCTCATCCCAGCATCACAAGAGCTTGCACTGCCACTCATTCAAAAGCCACACATGCATAGTGAGGGCCCTGTTCCCCGTAGCACTCCTGAACCCTGCACGTAATGCACTCCTGAACCCTGCAACCTGTGCGTAGCGCACTCCTGAACTCTGCACGTAATGCACTCCTGAACCCTGCAACCTGTGCATAGTGCACACTCCTGAATCCTGCACATAATGCACTCTTGAACCCTGAAACCTGTGCGTAGCACACTCCTGAACCCTGCAACCTGTGCGTAGCGCACTCCTGAACCCTGCACGTAATGCACTCTTGAACCCTGCACGTAATGCACTCCTGAACCCTGCAACCTGTGCGTAGCGCACTCCTGAACCCTGCACGTAATGCACTCCTGAACCCTGCAACCTGTGCGTAGCGCACTCCTGAATCCTGCACATAATGCACTCCTGAACCCTGCAGCCTGTGCGTAGCGCACTTCCGAACCCTGCAACTTGTGCGTAGCGCACTCTTGAACCCTGCACGTAATGCACTCCTGAACCCTGCAACCAGTGCGTAGCGCACTCCTGAACCCTGCACGTAATGCACTCCTGAACCCTGCAACCAGTGCGTAGCGCACTCCTGAACCCTGCACGTAATGCACTCCTGAACCCTGCAACCAGTGCGTAGCGCACTCCTGAACCCTGCACGTAATGCACTCCTGAACCCTGCAACCTGTGCGTAGCGCACTCCTGAACACTGCAGGTAATGCACTCCTGAACCTTGCACTCTTTGTGTGATGTACTCCTGAAACCTTCTACTCTTTGTGTTATGCACTCTTGAACCCTGCTATTCTGTGCATTACGCAATCCTGGTTTAATTTAGGAATACCTCTTTAAGACCCTCCCACTGTTAGTGCAATTTGGTCAATATTAATGATCAAAAATGTCTGGAATACAGCCACCTTTTTGTACAAATGTTAATGAGTCTTAAAACTATTTTAATAAAAAAGCTCTTATCCAAATAGATTTCTTAAATCCAGACCTCCTCATTAGAATTGGTAATAAGTATGATTAAAATTCTTCTTGGGTAACTGAGCAACTGGTGCTAATGTAAAGAGACATTAAGTAACATGGTGCTAGAAGGGACAGGGTACAACTATTTATGGTGTAATAAGAGCATGTACTTTCTAGAGCAGCGGTTCTCAACCTGTGGGTCGCGACCCCTTTGGGGGTCGAACGACCCTTTCACAGTGGTCCCCTAAGACCATCAGAAAACACATATTTCCGATGTGTAAAGAGCAGCTACTGTGTTGAAAGCAGCTACTCTGTTAAAAGCAACTACTGTGTTGAAAGCAGCAGTATTGGAGGTAAAACGACACTCATGAATTATAATTACTGGGTAAATAATTTTATGGTTGGGGGTCACCACAACATGAGGAACTGTATTAAAGGGTCACGGCATTAGGAAGGTTGAGAACCACTGTTCTAGAGGAATCCTGAGATCCATCACTGGTGGAAGTGTCTAGAACAGGTGTCTCCAAACTTTCTAAACAAAGGGCCAATTCACTGTCCTTCAAACGTTAGGAGGGCCGGTTTGTGACCTGTGTGAGCAGAACATAGTATTATGGGCGAATAGTTTCCCATTATTGGTGTCAATTGGTGGGATAGTGCCCCATTATTGGTATCAGGGGAGAAATAGTGCCCCATCATTGGTGTCAGTGTGAGAGGAATAGTGCCCCATCACTGGCATCAGTGTGAGGAATAGTGCCCCATCACTGGCATCAGTGTGAGGAATAGTGCCCCATCACTGGCATCAGTGTGAGGAATAGTGCCCCATCACTGGCATCAGTGTGAGGAATAGTGCCCCATCACTGGCATCAGTGTGTGAGGAATAGTGCCCCATCACTGGCATCAGTGTGAGGAATAGTGCCCCATCACTGGCATCAGTGTGAGGAATAGTGCCCCATCACTGGTGTCAGTGTAAAGAATAGTGCCCCATCACTGGTGTCAGTGTGAGGAATAGTGCCCCAATCATTGGTGTCAGTGTGAGGAATAGTGCCCCATCATTGGTATCAGTGGGGGGCCCCATCATTGGTAAATAGTGCCCCATCATTGGTATCAGTGGGGGGGAATAGTGCCCCATCATTGGTATCAGTGGGGGGGAATAGTGCCCCATCATTGGTATCCCCAGTGGGGGGGAATAGTGCCCCATCGTTGATGTCAGTGTGAGGAATAGTGCCCCATCGTTGGTGTCAGTGGGAGGAATAGTGCCCCATCATTGGTGTCAGTGGGAGGAATAGTACCCCATCTAATATTTCTGGATTCACCATGTTCGATGTGATGTCAGCAGCCCCAACAAACTCAGAGCTGACATTCAACTGATACTCTATAGCAGCATTTCTTAACCTTTTTACCCCAGAGGAACCCCAAAATAGTTTTCAGGTCTCAGAGAACCTCTGCTAAAATAAATCCATTGAGGGCCATTGGGAAAATATCCTCTACATTAATGATCAGTGGGAGGAATGCTCCCTTTACAATGCTGGTCAAAATGACATTCTTACAGACAGCTAAAAAGATCACTTCTGTCATGCTGCTGGCTCTGAGAATTGGCATTGGCCCTGAAACTACGAATATACAGTACCATCAGATGGGAGGTCAGTCAGACACAGCTACAGGAACCCCTAGCAACCTCTAGAGGAACCCTAGATGAGATTGGCTTCTCAACAGAATTCCCCTTTGCTCCACTCCAGGCAGCTATGTAAAGGAACATGCAGAGGAGCTGGGCCAGCACAGAGAGTATTAAAGTGTTTAGAAAAAAAACAACATATGCTGTACATCTCTGCAGTACATACACATTTCTCCCGTTATTTGTTCCTGTAATGTTGCAAGTACAGAAAAATATCAGTTGCTCTTCCAGATATCCAGTGAGCTCTTAACTTATTGTAGTTGTATTGCTTCTGCTGCATTGAAATCCCAATCAGAGTTTTCAGCCTTGTCTGAGTTCTCCCTCGCTGGACTACAGAACACCTGTCCCCTCCTCCTCATCTCCATATCTTTAAGGGGGGGTGTTCTGTAGTCCAATGAGAGTTGGGCAGGATCAAAGTTAACGGTCTAAATGGGAAGTTGACAGCCCACTTGTTTTCTAGCAAGATCGCCAGCTAGTTTTCTGTACATGCAATGTAAGAGACAAAACACCGGGAATGTGCATGTATTTTAGTGATGTACTGCATGTTTCTTTTTATTTATTTTATTTACAGCAACGGCACTACCTGCCTGGAGTTTGTATGTTCTCCATGTGCCTGCTTGGGTTTCCTCCGGGTACTCTGTTTTCCTTCCACACTCCAAGACATGTTGGTAGGTTACTTGGCTCCTGTCTAAATTGGCCCTAATATGTGTATGTATGAATGTGAGTTAGGGACTGTAGATTGTACACACCTTGAGGACAGGGACTGATGTGACTCTACAATATATATATATATAAAAGCGCTGCTTGAATTGACGGTGCTGTATGCAGTAAGGGTTTTTTGGTTGTATATTTTATATTGGGCAGACACACACTTTAAGGCAAGTCCTTTCAA